TTAGATCTTTCAGCTATGTCTGGGGTCCTACCACTTCCCACCACCTTAGCTGCCCCCTGGGGTGAGCCAGTGTGTCTCCGCCTGGGACAGCAGCATGCAGTTCCCTGCTTTTCTCCTTTCCTCTCCCGTCCATGCTCCATACGGCCACCATATCTGGTCTCCTTGCTCAAGCACCTGCCCTGACCCCCCTGAATCCTGAGGAGAACCAATGGCCTATGAAGCCTTGTGAAATCTGACTCCATGGCCTCTGTGCTCCAGCTACACAGACTTCTTGGAAGTTCCTTTGAACACACCGGATGCACACACATCTCTGCATTTGCTGTTCCCTCTGCCTAGAATGCTTTTCCCTGCACAACCTCATGGCTCACTCTTTCATTCCTTCTAGCCTGCTCAAACACCACTTTCTCAACCAGCCTTCCCTGCTGAGCCCTGCTCTTAGCCCCCGATCCTCTTTTCCTTTTTCTATAGTACTTAGCCCCTTCTTACATGCAATATAATTTAATTATTTAGTATGTCTATGGCTTAGAGCTTATTGCCTATTCCTCCTGCCAATTGGATTGCAAAGAGTTGGGATATCCATTTGTTCATGGCTGCATCCCAAGCATCTAGAACAGTATCTGGCACAGTAAATATTTATTGATCAAAAGAAAGAAAGAAAGTCTCTTGAGTCTGATGGGGTGGGGCCAGGGCTGGAGCGGGAGATGAAGAGATGTGCTGTCAAACTGACATTTGTTAGACACCAACTCTGTGACAGATCTTCTGGGAGATTTAGTCTTTACCACAAACAAGGGAGGAAGATACAACGTGCCCATTTTACAGATGAAGAAACTGAGGCATGGGGAGGTGATGTCACCTGGCTTAGGTACTTACATCTAGATTCAAATTTGGGTTTGTGTGTCTGCCTAATGCCATCTCCTTGGGTGAGGCCAACTTGTCACTGAAGCATAAATATGCTAAATATAAAGAAAGTTAGAAAACTGTGTCTTATGCTTAACACAATTTTGCTATAATTAAAATAGTATACTAATTTTTAGAAGGAACAGAGAATGAATCACATTTTTTTCTTTTTGGTAGAATTTTTCTGACAAGATGATATAATGGTATGCTTCACTTATTAGATTTTCATGGTACAGCTATAAAGAGGGTCATTTTTGCAGAAATGCTTGAGGGCTTGCTTCTCTTAGTACCTTGAAATTTAAATTATTCTCTTTTGAGGTACTTACTCATTATCCTCATTGACTTCCTCTTTGTTAATTATCAACAGGTCTAACTCTTTACATAGTACTAATAACTAGCAGTTTTTGAGGGCTCACCATGTGTCAGGCTCTTCGTGTATATGATGGATTTATTTTTACTGCAGCTCTACTTGGTAGGACATACTATGCATGTCCTACTAAGGACACAGAGGTCAAGTACCTTGCTTAACCTCTGGTGGTACCACTAGTAAGTGGAAGACTAGGGACTTGAACTGCAGAGCCTGCTTCTTAACCACTCATTTGTCAAAGATCCTGTGCGTGATTAGAGCCATGCTCCAATACAACTTTCGCTGATCTCATGAAATCCTGCCTCGTTTGTGAGATTTTCATTTTCAAATGAAATTAATCTGCATTTCATGTGCACAGCACCATGGGATGCGAATGTCCCATAGTCCATAAGGTTGACTGGCGACTGACCCAATGGTGTGAGGAGCCGTGACAGACACTGGTGTGAAATGGGGTAGGACATTCAAGCAAGGATGCCTTTATGAGGGGGTCAGTTCTTCGATGATTTTTATTTTTGTCCGTGGGGGAAATTGGGTGGGAACTGCTTTAGGGGCAAGTAAACTCACAGCTGTGTGTGTAACGTGAGGGCCTAGGTCTCCCTTCAGGATATTTCCGGGATTCTTTCTTTCCTGACAGTCTGAGGGGGTGGGGCCAGGGCTGGAGCAGGAGATGAAGAAGGTGCTGTTAAGCCGACATTTGCTGGACACCAACTCTGTGACAGACCTTCCGGGAGGTTTAATTGGTCTTTACCACAAACCAGCGAGGGAGATACAATGTGCCCATTTTATAGATGAAGAAACGGAGGCATGGGGAGGTGAAGTCACCTGGCTTAGGTACTCACATCTAGATTCGAATTTGGATTTGTGTGTCTCCCAAACCCAGATTTTCCCCATTGTGCTGCCTCCTTGCTAGTACGGACAGTTTAGTTGAGGGGACCACTGGCGGGGTTGGGCTGAGAGGCAGCCAGGGTGGTGGCAGTGGTAAGACGTGGGACGCTGGGCCGGCAGGAAGTGACATGGCCAGTATCCGCTCCCATGCGCTGCCTCCTCATCCCTCCAATCCCTTATATTTGGAAGCAGACTTGTTCTCTAGGAACAAACAGGGAGGATGGCCCTCCGATAATTCGATCGCTGCCACTTAGAAACGCCGGAGAATAAATATGTCGCCCCCCTAATTCAGAGGCTGCAACAAGTATCTTCTCCGCCAACTCCAGAAATGCGGAGCTGGCTGGCTGGAGGAGCGCCAGGGTGAGGCATAGGGGGGTTTCCGCGGAGCCCCGCGGGACAAAGGGGGCGGGGGTCCTGATTCATGCACCAGTCACACATGGGGTGCTCCATCACAGGACTAGGGGTGAATAAACCCGAGGAGCGTCTGTCCTCTCCGAGCCCACGTGCGGGGCTCGTATTGCTCAGCCCCGGCTGGCCACCTCGCGGCCCAGACCCCGGAGGCTGACGTCCAGGAATCGTTGGCGAGGCGGCCACATACGCCCCCCCAGCCAGTCTCCTGAGGCCGGGAAGCCTCCTTCTCTCCCTTAGTTTCCCTAGATGGTTTGGGAGGCGGGGTGGGTGGTCAACATCATTCTTTAGGGCCAGATCCTTTGGCTGAAAAATATGAAAGATGCACCTCACCCTGCCCCGCCGCACCCCCTCACCCTGCCCCGCACCCTCCCTCCACTGCAGTGGCAGAGTGGCTGTGGGCCCATCCAGAGCCTGTGGAGAGAAGGAAGAGGTTCACCTTGGGGTGACAGGGATGGGTGGGGGGCCTGGGTTCTCACGACTTCTCCCCTGTAAGGCGTGACCTGTACAATGAGAAGGCCCTGGTTGTGGTGGGTGGGGGCTGCAGGTGGCAGAGGTAACCCGTCCTGTGGGAACGCAAGTGGCTAGGCTCCCGAGACTGGCATTGGACTTGGGACTTCCCTCTGCCATCCTCCACCCTCTTCCTCATCCCGGGCTGTGACTTCCTTCCGAGTCCCTTCGTGGCCCCCTCCAGCCTCCCCATCCTGTGCTCAGACGACCCTTTAGGACTCTGGGAAATCCTTTGGAGGTCCAGTGGATTCTGGAGGAAATGGAAATGATTATTAGTAACGTTACTAAATTATTAAATAAATGATTATTAGCTTAAGGAAAAGGCTCCATCTCATCAGTAACCCAGGAAATGGGAATTTAAATGACAGGATACCTGGAAAGTGTATCACACAAGGGAGGGATGTGGACAGAATGCTTCTGAGGCAGCCATCTTGGTTCATTTTCAATTTGTTATTCAGCATGTAACCCTCTGGGCATATCTCAAGATGTAAATGATTCAAATTTTGTATTTTCAAAATACTGGAATACCGTAACACCAAACATGGGCGTTTCGATCACTGGTGGTCAGTCCCCAAGCACCGGCTTGGTGCCGGGCTGCTCTGGAGCCCGAAGGCAGAGTTGAGGACGTCATCTCACAGTCTCGAGCAAGCACACACATGGGAAGAATCCACCCCGCTCGTGGCACAAATGGGGGGCCGGCCTTGGAGAGGGGTCGGAGGGACCTGAAAGGGTATAGCCTGGAGTCACGTGGCCAGCCGATGCACTTGGCCTTTCTCAGACTCGGTGTCATCCATCATGTGTGAAATGAGGGTCTTCATGCTTACCTCAGACTGTGAACCCCAAAGAGAGTTGAAGATTCTTTATAAACTGTAATCATTGCTCAGCAGTGAAGCTTTTATGTGCAAGTGTGTGGAAGAGGCAAGCTTGTGTGGTGGCGGGAATTAGATGTCCACAGGTCTGGGAGGGACCCCGTGCTGGCTCTGACTCCCGGTCGTTGCGTGACCTTATCCCCAAGGCATTTAATGTCTTGCTGTTCCTTGGTTGGTAGACGCGTCACTTCCATCTCTGCCTCAGTTGTCACATGGCCTTTTCCCTGCCTGTCTGTCTCTTCTATTCTTCTAAGGTGATTTGTCCTATTAGATTAGGACCTATCCTAACGATCTTAACTCAAAATTATATTATTTTCAAATAAAGTCATAGTCACAGGTACTTGGAGTTATGACTTCGACCTACCTTTTTTTTTTTTTTGTGGGGGACACAATTCAGACCATAACAGTAAGTAAAGCACCCAGCTTGGTGCCCGCACCTTGTAAGTATTCAATAAATATTAGCCATTGTTATGACTTCCGAGGCTCAAAGTAGACCAAGTACACAGTCTCTTTGCAAATGATAAACCACCAGGCAGAGTTATAATTGGCTATTGGTATTTTCCTTATTTATATCAGTCGGAGGCACCTTCAGACAGAGGCGGAAGCGACATGAATAACCACGTGCAGGTGTTAGCTACGGAAAGGTGGCAAAGGAAAACATACCCAGGCAGGTGGTATCCACCCAGAGTTGGTGGCCGCCTGTGGGACAAATGGCAGACACACTGGGAGCAGGGCTCAGAGCCTGGGCAGCTCAGGCAGGGCCAACCCGGTGCAAGGTTGGAGAGGAAACAGCCATCTCTCGGGCCTGGGTCCTCACAGCCAGGACCCCTTGATTACCCTGCGGGGCCCCAAAGTCCTGTTGTCTCTATTCCCAAATAGATCCCAATCCACACTTCCTTCCACCTCCACTGCAGCTGCTCTTGTTCGAGCCGCCGTCTTACCTGGACGACCACGAAAGCCTCCTCCCCTGCCCCCCCGCTTCTCCCCGTGCTCCCCTCCCCAGCCATTTCTTAACACAGCAGCCAGTCTGCTCTTTTAAATACCATAAGTCAGATCCTGCTTACACGCTCTGAAGGCTTCTTGCGCTCCTCCACGACCGACATCCCTACCGTTGCTCCCCGAGCTCTTCCTCCCTGTTCCTTTCAGTTCCTCCAACTCGCCAAGCCTCGTCCTGCCTCAGGACCTTTGCACTTGCCACCTACGCGCCGTTCGTGGTCTTGGCCTGTCTCGCTCTCTCACCATTCATTCCTATCTCTGTTCGGGATCTGCCCCGCCCACGCATGGGAAGGAACTCCCCGCCCCAGGCCCCGCCTCGCCTTTTCCACTTTCATTTTCATTCTGATACTTAACCTGGATCTGAAATTATCTTCTACTTTTTTTTTTTTTGTATTTTCTTGTGTGTCTGTTCCCGCTAGTGGAACGTAACGGGCACAAAGAGACAAAGAATCACGAGTATATGGTTTACTTCTGTATCTTGCGTGCCGGGAACAGGGTATAGACTACAACAGGGGCTCAATACGATTTGTTCCAGGGATGAGAAACGGCCCTGGGAGCACTGGGACCTGGAATGTGTGGGGGAGCAGCCATCGAGGAATGCGGCCCTTCTCACCGTTCACGCCTCGGCCCCCAGTTTTGATAAACAAACCTCTGCCTCGTTCCTGAAACCCAGTCCCTACTTCCTCGTCCCATTCTTTCACTCCCTCGTTCATTCAGAAATCTGCGAACACCTGCATTGTGCCGTGTGCTGTAACAGGTGCTGAAGAGGCAGTTTTCAAAAGCTCAGGAGGGACGCGCAGAGAGAAGGCATCTACCCAGACCTGGAGTGGGAGGAAAACAGGGAGGGCTTCCTGGAGGAGATGACCCCTAAGGCTGCATCTTCAAGGATGTGCACAAGTCGGACAGGCAGGAATGGAGGGGAATGGAGTGTGGGAAGGTGCGGCCACCAGGCAGCAGCCTAGGGGAACAGAGGAGGCAGAATGATACATAGAGGACACTTTCTCAGCATCGTTAGGCCTTGCACTAAGCCCCGGGCAAGGATGACCTCATCCGTTCATCTGGCAACCCTAGAGGCAGGTGCTCTACCATCCCCAAGTGGCAGGGAAGGGAACTGATGCGGAGAGAGGTTCAGTTATTTGTCCAAGGGAACACAGCTCATACATGCTGATCAGGCTCCAGCATGGGCCGTGTCACTCTCCGCCTGGTATACTTACTCTTCTGTCACTGGCAATGGCCTGACGGTACATCCCGAGTCCTTGCTTTGCATCCAGTTTTCCCACAGGGGGCCCCACTTCATTTTCCCAGGCACCCCAGGCCCCCCCTATTCAGAGATTCCAGAAGTCTTCCTGGTGGTTACAGCCTGACCGCCAGGCCTCTCTGATGCTCAGCTTTCCTGATCTTGTCAT